GGAAAAGAGGAACAGAGCCAAGGGGTGGGGCCAGGGAGAGAGTGACTGTTTAGCTCCTGAGGAAAAAAGTCAGTCTCAGCCTGGTCTTCAGCGTGGACGGCAGGCTTAAGGAACAGCGCAGGTGGGACTCCTGTCACCAGAGACTCTGTGGGCAATCCAGGCCACTATTGACCATGGTGGAGAGCCAGGAGGGTGGCAGTGCTGGTGGCCAGTCCTGTGGAGAAGGGCTGGAGTTTCTCTCCACAACCGGAGAGGGAACCGCAAATCCTGGCCTGAGGCTGCAATCCACTACCGAAGTAGAGAGGGTGTGTGGTAGGGACAGAAGACTTGCGTTTTGATCCTGTTTGTTTTGTATGCCCAGGTTGTGTTGAAGTGCCTGAGTTTATTTTCTATGCCCAAAAATGTATATAGTTCAATAAATCTTCCTTTGTTGAGTTTAAAAAGCCTGGTGTGCCTTAACCACCTAGACTCCCCCGCTCTACACGTTACCAGGGGCAAAGGGAGGCCAGGGGACTTAAACGGGCCTAAAACTGGTGGGTTGCCAACCCTCCAGGGGGCGCCCAAACATTTAGCTAACCACTTCCCGAGGTGGGAAATTTAGCCAGAGGGGTCTCACTGTCCCTCAAGGAAGGCGGTGACTTAATTCAGTGAGTGGTGGCAGCCGGAACGAAGAGGAATAGCCCCACCAGGCAGGGTGGGAAGGACAAAACGGGGCCTTGCAAGCCACAGGACGGCACCTCGGTTCCCCAGGACTGAGGATAGGTCCCCGTTTCGCCACAGACCCCATGGTGGCCGAGACAACCTTGGTTTTCAGCGGTCCTAGAGTTCTCACAGGGGATATACCATCACTTCCCCCTGGCTCAGGACCTCCTCCTTCTCTCAGACTCCCCCGTCCTACATCACAACATGCCACAGTTGAAACTGACGGCATGGCAGATAACATCACCGGCTTCTCCTCCCGCTTAGTGAATGTCCTTTTGAATTTGAGGAAGCCTACTACGCGCAAGTCCTACGATTATAAATGGAGAAGATTCTGTTCTTCCCTAGGTGATGACGCCCCTCGAGCCACCTCAGTGGGTCTCGAAAGAGTTTTCCGATTCCTCCTCTCCTTAGCTGACTCGGGACTTTCCCATTCGTCGTTAAGAGCTTATTTGGCTACTCTCTTGGCCTACCATGTTCCAATTGACGGATGCACTTTGTTTTCTCATCCGATTTCCAAACGGTTTTTAAAAGGTTTATTACACCTCTACCCTCCTGTCAAAACTCCAGTCGCTCCCTGGGACCTTCCTCTAGTTCTACGCCAGCTCACGAGGAAGTCCTTCGAGCCGCTTGCAACATGCGACCTCAAACTCCTCGCATGGAAAACTGCCTTTTTAATTGCCATAACCTCGGCTAGGCGAGTAGGAGAAATATTGGGTTTCTGGCACGATACACCTTTCCTGTTTTTTCTCCCAGACGGAATCCACCTCATTCCGGACATCTCTTTCCTCCCGAAGGTGATGTCAGAGTTCCACCTGCAGGCGGAGGTCTTCCTCCCTGACTTCTTCCCAAACCCAACGTCAGCGGAGGACAGATTCTTACACACCTTGGACGTGAAGCAGGCTCTCCTATTCTACCTCAGTAGAACACATCCAACTAGATGAGACTCACAACTATTCGTCTCGTACGCTCTGGCATGACTGGGTACGCGCATCATGGCCCAGCGCCTGTTAAAGTGGATTGTAGGTCTAATCCATCTGTGTTACCTACTCACCAAACAGCCATTGCCTGGCCATATCAGGACTCATTCTACCAGGGCTGTCGTGACTTCCACTGCCTTCCTCCAGGGAGTACCACTGCCAGACATTTGCAAAGCCGCTACCTGGGCCACGCCTAACACCTTCATCAGGCACTACGCCCTAGACGTCCATACCAACGCCAATACCAACATGGGACGTCACATTCTGTCTTCGGATACGCAGTAAAAGACCTGCCAGCACCCTCCTCCAGGTAGGCTACTGCTTGCTAATCTCCCATGGGTGTGAAGCACAGAGACCACGTCGAAGATAAGCAGGTTGCTTACCAGTAACTGGTGATTTTCGAGTGGTCATCTGTGCATTCACACCACCCGCCCTCCTTCCCCGCTGCTGTCAGCTTCTACATTTTTGAATAGGGGTTGATTTGCGGCGGTTTGTAGGAACTGGCGGGATGTCCGCGCCCACCCCTCTGGGCATGCGCGGTGGGGTTCCTGTGCATACCCGAGGGACTGGGCGCGAAAATCCGTTAAAAGAGCTTGCTACAGTACTGATCTATCCAGCGTGTACGCACTAGATCCCATGGGTGTGCATGCACAGATGACCACTCGAAGATCACCAGTTACTGGTAAGCAACCTGCTTTTACCTGGGCCAATGATGAGTCCCAGGGGTGTGTGGTTTTCAGGAGGGGTATAGCCTGATGTGACCAATGAGCTTTCAGAGAGGCAGAGTCTGGCTTTAACAATAGAAGCCAGTTGTTGGATGACTGTACTGGGGGTGTCCATTGTGGAACAATAGAGTGGTCTGGCGTTTCCCTGGTGCCAGACAAAAGAAGTGATGTTTCTTAATGTGTGGCAGGATGAACTTGAATGGGTGACCATTTAGTAGACCTGGAAAGTTAATGTTTACCTTGATAGGTCTGGCATAGGTGTAAGAATGCAGATGTCTTAGACAAATACATGGAGACAGGAATGAGAGGATTATTTCAAAGGTATTTCCTGACATAGGTGAAACAGGAGAGGGGGATGGAAACATGCAACGTACTTCATTCATGACAATAGCACAGACCAGGGGCTTTTTGTCCCTGCCTGCCTGTATATTTGACATACAAAAGACTAGCCATTTGATCAGTAGAAGATGACTGAGGCAAGGGCAGAGACTTGCCCATTCTTAGTCCTTTTGGACTGAGCTGACAGGATAGGCGTGGGGGGAGGTTTGCTTGCATGAAGAATGCTTGGCAGTACAGCCACACTGGAGAATTCTCTTTGGCCTGAGTTTTCTCAGCCAAGATGTGGTTCTCCTAGCCTCCCAGCAAAAGCCACTGTTTAAGCCAAGCCTGGCTTCATAGGGCACTGCTTGTGGAGGTTCAGAGGTCGTTTTGGGGTGTCTCTCTCTCACGAAAGACCACCCCGGGTTCAGTGCGGAGGATGCTGGCAACAACTGTCTCACCCTCCTTTGACCCAGGTCTTGGTCACGCATACCAGGTCCACTGCTTGCTCTCTGAAATACTTCCACAAAGTTACACTCTTATTGTTAATGGACCTGGCATTACACAGCACCAGTGTCGGAGAAGGGGTTAAAATTCTAGCCCCCTCACCAGTGTGCCTTGGGATGGGACAAAGGTTGGAAGGAGACTGAGCATAACCATATCTCCACCTCCTTCCCTTATAAGACCTTCTCCCATTGCCATACCTCCATCTGCCTCTGATCACCGGAATCCCTGACCCAAAAGAGGTGTTTCCAATTTCCATTTCCACCTTGCTGCTCCTCCCCTCACCTGTATTTCCTCATCTCCAGTTTCAAGTTTTGTCAGATGTTGTATTTTTCTGGGTAGTCAAATTTCACCTAATGCACTCCCTCCCACCCGACCTCCCTTCTTGTCCCCCTAGCACCCTAACTGAAGTAAGAATGACTAGCCAATTAGAAATTAATTATTTAATGAGTGGGAATAATTCTTAAACTATCTAGCCAATTTTAAAATTTAAAACAGAGTATGAACACATAGGCTCCTAATAAGAGCCATTTCTCTACAGTTCTTGAGAAATCTCCATGGGCTTAAGAGCTTCTTGAATAAAAGTATACATAGATGTTTAACTATAAGAAAATCAACAGAATTTGAAAAAATTTACACATCGTTTAACTTTCTGATTTCAAGAAAATTTAATAAAGATGCTACATCAGTGAAACTGACACTACACAAAATAGCAAAAATTTATGTAAAGATCCTATAACACATGTTGGTATTGCAAACTACCAAATACAAACTGTTTACATATGTGGTGGATGTACAGACAGGCCAAAAATACTGGTTATCAGTTGTAGACATTATGAAATGTGGATTACGTATGGATTATCCCTGTTCCTCTGAGGTCTCCTTGTTAAACTATATACCCATGTTTCCAAAGGAATTTCAAACTGTGATCTTTCATATGATAACAGCAGCTAGAATTACCTTCAGAAGATATTCGATGTCAGATAATATTCCACTAATAGAAGAATGGACCCTGCAATGTAAAGAAACCTTTTTGGAATTCAAATTGACATTCTTAAAAAGAGGGAAGGATATATCTTAACTAAATAGAGGGAACTGAGCTAACAGGTATGCCACAAGATTAGCCACAGGTGACTTAGTGGGAGGTCTCCAGGCAAAGAAGTGGTGTAATGGAGGCAGTTTTAGTTTCCATGTTGAGCTGAGTTTTCAGTCAGTCAAAATTGGATCAGTATGAAGTAAGAATTTTTTAGCAGCAAATGTTAATGTGGGCTTCAGTTCTTTCTAAATTTTGATAGATCCTAACTGATGATCTGTTTGTCAGGAGGGGCAATATAGTATATCTATTGCAGTCTACGACCAGATATGTCAGGAGGGGCTTGATTATCAATTCCAGCAAGTGAGAGTAAAGTAATGCAATTAACATAGGGTTATGCTCAGTCCTGCTGACTCTCAATATTTGTCCAGGAGATAGCCCTAATTAAATTTAGTCCCCCATGCAACTGGCAAAGAGGAGCTAGTTCGGACAAGAAGTTAGGTAGAAGCAGGAGAATATATGCCAGTGTAGAAGCTTGACGTCAGCACTGGCCTTTAAATAAATCTGCAAGGAAAAACAAACTTTCTAAAATACAGATCTGTTAGTAGTGAAATTAGCGTATTGGCGTGGCTTTTGTATCTTCAGCACATGTAAGTCTTTTCTGCATCTTTTTATATTATCCACATTTATAATTAATTTCTGGCACATATACACACTAAAATGTACATCTTTAATTTTCAGAAAAAATAAAGAAGGAGATGACTGCAAAAGGTTCAACAGGCATTGAAGTTATTCTCTCAACTTTAGAGGTACTGATTTATTTTTTAATGTAGTGAATCTCTGGGATTTCTTTACACTAACCAAAGCTTGCTTCTCAGTTACTCAGTCTTTGACAAGTCAGTTCACTCATTGGCTTTTTATGTTGGTAACTGAGTGAGACTGTTTCTTAAATATTCTTCCAATGGAAACTCAGTCCTTATTTATTACGGCACCAAGCCAGCAAATCAGTAACATCATACATAACTGATATAAACAATTTGTTAAAATATAAATATAAAAACCATGGTTTAAAAGATTTAAGAGGTTAAATAATATTTTCTTTGCGGATACAGTAACAGGCTCCACAGAATTTAGCTACAGGTTTGGTAATGGTCTGATTATCATCTGATAATAAGTAATTGACGTAGTCAGAGTCCATCAGGCCAGGCATTTACTTTACCAAAGGTAAGATATATTTGGCTCGAACCAACTTGTACCATGAGCACCTGAGAAGCATATGTTCAATTGCTTCAACTTCTCCCAAATCACATTGACAAAGTCTCTGGTCGAAAGGTATCTTCCTATATCTCCCCTCAAGGACAGCCGAGGGAAGGGCCGAGCATCTAGCTAAGGTGAAAACTTCTCTTATCTTGTGATCATCTAAGTTGGAAAGGTAAGTAGGAGGGAGAAGTCAGTACCTGATTTGCTCAGACACTATATAAGCTGGGCATTTGGCTAGATCAGACTGTTTCTCTGTGTCCATTATTCTCTGTTTCGGCACTATCTTGGTCTGTTCCCTACCAAAGGCCAAACTCCTTAAAAAGAAAGTCCCAGAAGATTTAGTTCAATGGAAATTTATTTTTAAACAGTATATTCAGATCATAACAGAAAACCTGATGGTGTACCATTGAGACATTTTAAGATACATGGAATTTTATTTTACTACAATAAGTATATGAGAAGAAAACATAGGGCATGGTACAACCAAAGTAAAGCCCTTTGAAGTCTTGTTTATATCAGAGATAGAGATTTAATATTTATTATGTAAAATGCTCTTGTATGTATTTCATGCCCTGACCTTGATAGCCCAGGCTAGCCAATCTCATCAGATCTGGGGGGGGGGGGGAGGAGAGATCTCGGAAGCTCTGCAGGGTCGGCCCTGACTAGTATTTGGATGGGAGACTTCTAGTGAATACCAGGGTTGTGACATGGAGGAAGGCAATGGCAAACCACCTCTGAATGTCTCTTGCCTTGAAAACCCTATGGGGTTGCCATAATTCATCTGTGACTTGACATGTATTTCATGTTCGATTCTATTTTGTAAGGGGAGGCATTTTATAATGATTTAAGGCAAACCTTAAATGAGCAAATCACTTTTTGCCTTTACTGCAAATTTATACGCATAGAAAAAGTAACATTAAAAATATATGAAATCCTTATTCATTTCAGAATACAAGAGATCTTCAGACTACTCTAAATATCTTAAACATCCTGATTGAGTTGGTAGCAGTCGGTAAGTTTATATCAAATTGCAACCTGCAGTGTTTATATTGACCTAGGGTACTTCTGGATTATTATTTTCTCAGATAATTTTTTTTAAAAGAAACGTTTCTGTTTTACGGGCACAAATGAAATAAACAAGTGGAAACCTGCAAGGACTTGAAGGAGGCATCTCACCCTCCCCACACACACACAGATTATTTGCTTGTCTTTCACTTTTCTAAAAGCTCCCATCACTTCTCCCCTTTTCCTGCTTCCTTCTCTCCTAGGGTTGCCAACCTCCAGGTAGAGCCTGGAGATCTCCTGGAATCACAATAGATCTAACTACAGAGATCAGTTCCCTCTTAAGGTTGCCAGTGCTAGGTTGGGAAACTCTTGGAGATTTGGGGATAGAGCCTTGGGAAGGTGAGGTTTGGGGAGGAAAGCAACCTCATCAGGGTATAATGCGATGATGGATAGTAAATGGCTAACGTTGTTTCCCAGTCTGAGAATCTTGAGGGGTAGGGGATTCAATGGAATTCTTCAGCTGAGAGTGTCAGTTAGGAGCTGGGAGTTGACAGTTAACAGTGAGAGAGCAAAGCAGACAGTGAGAAGATCAAGAAGGATCCTGAGTTAGGGAAGTGGGATGCATAGTCCCATCCCTATCAAGTCTGAGAGAAATAGCTCCTAGAAGACAAAGGTGATCCCTAGCTAGGCTTACCAAGTGGCGGCGGGGGATCTGTGTGTCTTTACAGGATCCCTGCCACGGGGACGGCGATACGTGGTGCACCTGCCGTTGCCAGGATGTGATGCTACGCGTTGCTCTGGCAACGAGACTCCAAACAGCCCCGTTGCCAGAGTGACGCGTAGCATCACATCCTGGCGACGGCGGGTGCACCGCGTATCGGCGTCCCCGCAGCAGGGATCCTGTAAAGACACGCAGATCCCCCGCCGCCACTTGGTAAGCCTATCCCTAGCCAGTGGATAAGGAAGGAAACTGGAACGTGTGTGAATGTTCCTGCCTTCACCAACTTTAGTGTCTGTGAGACAAAGAAACCTATGTTTGTTTATGTAAGCAGAGACTGTCAAGAAATTTCTCTCAAGTTTTAAAGGTCTGTCTGAATAACAGAAACAGTTACTTGTTATCTGGTGTTTATTCAGTGGTGTACGTAGCCTATGTGGCACCCAGGACAAATAATTTTTTAACACTCCCCCTGTATTTTTCTTTTTTTGCCATCAAGTCATAGCTGACTTATGGCGACCCCATAGAGTTTTCAAGGCAAAAGACATTCTGAGGTAGTTTGCCATTGCCTACCTCTGTGTCAGCCCTGTTTAGTTTCTGAGATCTGACAAGATCAGTCTAGGCTAGGCTGTGGCTATCCAGGTCAGGGCCCCTCCTCTCTACAACAAAATTATTTTCAGTAACAATCATGACATAAAACGAATAATAACGATGGCCAGAAAATAGATTCAGGTGGGTAGCTGTGTTGGTTTGAAGCAGCAGAACAAAGTTTGGTCATAAAGGTGCCACTGAAGCCAAACTTTGTTTCAGTAGCCAGAAAAAAGCACAGGCAGTGAATAATTTATTTTATTTAACTTTATATATTATATAATCATGCCAGTAAAAAAAAAAATCAAATTCCAACACGTTATTCCATCATGAGAGCCAGCATAATGAAGTGGTTAAAGTGTCTTAAGTGTCAGACTAGGATCTGTGAAATCCAGGTTCAAATCCCCATGTGTTTCATGGAAGCTTTCAGGGTGACCTTGGGCCAGTCACATTACTCTCAGCCTAACCCTGACCTGGATAGCCTCAGGACTGCCTGATCTCATCAGATCTTAGAAGCCAAGCAGGGCCAACATGGAGGTAGGCAATGGCATCTCTTGCCTTGAAAACCCTACAGGGTTGTCATAAGTCATATGTTGGCCAAAAAAAAAAAATCCATCACACCACTTATGTTCTGAGCAGGCACTTGGGAGGGCTTCTGTCCTCCATTTTGAAGCCCAACCAACCCAAACATCTTCAAGGCATTTTTGAGACCTGGGAGCATGCCTTTGTATTGACTTTTACTAACTAACACTAGCCAAAGCATCACAAAATAGTGATTGCAAACTTAACCAGAATGGATGTTAAGAAACTCATTACCCCATAAAGATGGTGCCCCCATCCTCCATTGTTTCCAAAGGACTTCAGTCAAACCAGAGAATCTTTGCAGTAGAACTGAAGAAGGGGCATTTTTGCAAGCCCAGTAGAACCAGTGCAATGTACAGAATATCCAGCAGTACCAGTGAGATCACAGAGTGCCCAGCAGAACCCAATGCCATTGTGGCAATGCCAGCTGATGTCAAGCACAGACTCACAATCCAAGGAGGGGGGGGGTTGGAAGCCCAGCTGAACCAGTGCAATGTACAGTGCCCAGCAAATTCAATGCCTTATGTTCATAATATTAACAAAGGTTTGCTACTATACTGTCACCAAGCAGGATAGGGATGAGAAAGTCTTGAGACCAAGAAGTGAAAATAAAGGGGGGGGGGCATGGAAAAATTAGGCGAAGGGATACAGAAATTATTGAGAAATGTATGGAAAAGGGAGAGAAATTAAGAGAGGGAAATATTGTTTTATCTTGCTACACAAAAAGCAGTTTAATGACCAAATTCCAGCAGTACAGGTTAAGTAACACACTCACAGTTTCCCCAGAATTCAAAACCTTAAAGCAGTGCTACAAAAAACTTTTAATGGAGAAAAAAACAGAAAGCACAAAGGGACTCCTGGACCTGGATGATTCTAAATCAAATAGCTCTGTAATCTTTTGGCACTTAATTATGGCTAAGCTCCATACAGAATCTTCAGTGATAACTTGCAACATCTCTCCCCACCTTCGGGATCTTATTTCCATGCACTTTATTCATCTGAAACAGACCCAAATACATGCTTAAAGGTCTAACTACAAAGCCTTCCACTATGGCCACTGGTAACAGTTACCCAAGTCAAAAGATTAATAAATCAATTGAAATCCAACAAGGCTCCTGGAAATGATATGATATACCCCCAAAGATGATAAAATAAAATATCAACTGTTGGGCCCCAGTGCTCACTGCATTCTTTACCCGTATCAACCAGTTGGCCCGCATCCTCAGAGACTGGAGCCTTGCAATTATTGTTCCAAGATACAAGAAAGGAGAAAAGTCAAATTATTTAGAAGGAAAGGTGGAGGCTTTCTCCCCATGGCCTTAAAAACCTTCCAGGCAAAATCATTGGCTCAACTCTTGTATGGCTTACAAATCGGACTTTCTGCCAATCTAAAGACCCTTGAAAGGGTTCAATCTAAATTTCTTAGATCTCTGGCATTCCTAGAAGCACTTCTAATGTAACACTTAGGCAAGAGGCTGGGCTACTCAGAGTTGAACCAAAGGTCTGGGAGCAGGCTATGACACTCTGGCTAAAAATTCATTACAACCCAAAGGGTTTAATACCTCACCTCTTAGCCTTGGACCATTACCCGGCCTGGTTCACACAAATTCTTAATAAGTTAAATCAGATTGGCCTATTCCCATAAGATCTCTTCTATAGAAGCCTATACAAGGCAAGAACAGCTGTTGCGCAGAGGCTTCGTGATGTTGAGTTACAAAATGAAGAAGCTTTGCTACCCAAGAACTTCAGAAATATAAAATCTTGGCCTAATTTTACTGCTGCCCCTTTTTTATTTAACATTACCTATGAGCCCTATAGATGGGCCTTTTCCAGAGCCCGTTTTGAGGCACTCCCTTCCATTGTACTGCAAGGTAAATTCACTCGAGTTCCAATGCATGAACGTATATGCCTGTGCATGGCTAATATGGTAGAATCAATTACTCATGTCCTTCTGTTCTGCACATTCTATCAGGAGGAACGAGACCATCTTATACTACCCCTTCTGTCTAGATTTAGCCCTCTGCAGTCTTATCTTGACTTTAGGCCAGAAGTCCTTCGTAAATTCCTCTTAGAAGACGTTCAGAGTTCAGTGACTTACACTGTGGCAAAATTTTATTGCTTAGCTATTAGGAAACGTAAACTTATTTTAGCTGAAAAAATTGTATGATTCTCTTATTAAAATTATTTTATTTTACTAATTTTATTAATTTTCTCTTGTTAATGTTTTTATACTATTCCTATGTTATTATTGTTTTAATCCTTCTTATATCAGAATTGTACTGTTTTACTGGCTCTTGCTGTAATAAATTAAATTGATCGCAGGGAGCTCATGGTTCTCAGGGAACAAGTTTGCACCCTTGAGGCCAAGATGGCTGACCTGGAGAAGCAGAGACAGTCAAGCACATGGAGAAGACTTTCAGGACTTGTTACATATGTCCCACTCTGAAAATGGCAGCCCCGCCGCTGTCAGGGAGTATGAGGGTTGAGAAGAAACAGGGCACCATACTGAGGATAAGGAGAATGTGCCCTCAGAAGGGACCTCTTCAGCTAGTGAATGGGTATCCTTTTGCACCAAGGAACCATCCCTGCACAGGGAAGGAGGGGGACTCTTGGTAGTTGGTGATTTGATCCTTAGGCAGGTAGATAGCTGGGTGGCAAGCCCGCATACTGACCATATGGTGACTTGCCTGTCTGGTGCAAAGCTAGCGGACATTATGCATGTTCTAGACAGGCTGGTAGACAGTGCAGAGGAGGAGCCAGTGGTCGTGGTACATGTTGGCACCAACCATGTGGGGAAACACAGTTTTGAGGTTCTGGAGGAAAAATTTAGGCTGCTAGGCAAGAGACTCAAGGCCAGGACCTCCAAGGTAGCCTTCTCAGAAGTGCTACCTGTTCCATGCACAGGGCCGGAGAGACAGGAACAGATCAGGCATCTCAATGCGTGGATGAGACAATGGTGTAAGGAGGAAGAGTTTAAGTTTGTTAGGCACTGGGATGCTTTTTGGAACAAGAGGGAGCTGTACAAAAGAGACAGTCTCCACTTGTCCCGAGGAGGAACCAAGCTGCTGGCGCGTAAAATCAAAAAGGTGGCAGAGCACTTTTTAAACTGAATATTGGGGGAAAGCCAACAGGAGATGAAAAGTCTCTGGTTCGGAATGGCTCATCTCAAAGAGATGAAGGAGTAGCTGTTACTTTTCTACAAGGAAGTAAATTAGAATTGTCCACTGAGACTGTGGCTAATGATACGGACTGCCTGGTAAGGTCTCGAGACTTGGTGGTGGGAAAATAGACATTTCATAAACTTGGTGGGATGAGGAAAATCAGAGGGATATGGTGATTCCTGGTTATAAATTATATCAGAAGGATAGGGGGGAAGGGTTGGAAGTGGGGTGGCTCTGTATGTCAGAGTATATAGTCCAGTAAGATTGAGAGGGTAAGAGAATTGGATTCACTTCTGGAAGTGCTATAGGCTGAAATAGTGGGCCCAAAAGAAAGCTTAACAATGGAAGTTTGTTATTGCCCACCAGATCAAAAGATAGAGGAGGATTATAAAATGATGAATGAATTAAAGATAGCAGCTAGACGAAATAACTGTGTCGTAATAGGTGATTTTAACTAGCCACACATTGATTGGGTCAATATGTGTTCATCAGGAAAAAGAGATTGAGTTTCTAGACACTCTCAATGACTCAGTCAGTCAGTTTTTATTCGGTGCATAACCAGCACAATTCAGTTAAAACAGTTTAAAATCTCTAGGGTTCACTCATAAAACATTTATAAACCAATCTGCACTCATATCAGTCTTATCTGAGGCCCTTTGGTTGAACTACAGATAAATACCTATAAATTACATTATAAACAAATAAAATGAAATTCATCCAATGTGCTTCCTATTTTGTCTGCTTCAGTTCTTTACTTGATCCTTACAAATTCTATAAGCTATTGCCAGAAAGCTGGCATAAATTAGAGAGAGCTGAGGATTGGAATCAAATAGAAATTTCTTGCTTATCTCCTTAACTGGGTAGCTAAGGAACTTCCCTAATATGGGTTGAAGAAACTTTACTCGAATTTCTTTATAGAACATGCAATGCAATATATATCCGCTGTGTCATTGGCACCTTTTTATACCGGCCTTCTACTACTGCTGATGGAAAAATATTGCATCTGACCATAGAAAAAGCCCTGCAATAAGATGGAATTTCTAGGAGTGATAAATAAGTTGCTGTGGCAACCACATATCTTATTTCCTGGGGAGCCAGAAAGGTTGGCACCATGGTGATATCACTCTGCCTTTCAATATATATTTTTTTCCGGTTGTGAAAACAGCAGGTGGAAGCAGGAGTCGCTCCTGACGAAACCACCGATATTCCTTGACCCCTGGGGTCCTAGGTTCGCTAGGACTCCCAACAAGCACTTCAGAGGAGAGTTTGAAGCAGGGAGCTTGTTTTGAAGAACGGAAGTGGGCGGCAGCTCGTTCCCGTATCCGAAACTGCTTCGACACGGGAGGCGGGGAAGACACTCAGCGTTGTTGCCCCTTCGCTGAACGATAGCCAAAATCAGTGAATCCTCACAGAGACTTCCAGAAGATTCGGAGTACGAAGATACCACGAACATAGCGAGATAAGCCCTCTATATTAATTATGATAGTGAATTACTTTTCTCAATAAGTTGACCAACTGGATGCGCTGATAGGCTTTGCCATTAGGGAAGCATGTTTACCAAAGAAGGGAGGGCTGAGGTTATGGATGGAAAAGCAGCGGAGGAAAGACGCCTCGCCTCCCGAAGTTGAACTAATATTGTTTCCATTTAAAAGAACATACAAGTTCCTAATTGAGAATTGAGGACTGGTAGAGTCTGGGCTTCCCTAGCGGCTCAGTTGATATTAACGTATCCTACAATTGATGGTTATGTACGTCACTGATGGAGTAGAAGAGGAGGAAGGCTAACGAAAGCTATATTTCCAGACACTGGCTCAGTTAGGTGTATCTTCCATAGTCACGAAACCCATGAACTAAGTCTCACTTATCTTTTTGATGAGTAGACTATCTACTAAGTACTGTGTATGAATTCTTCAGCCTATTAGCACTTTCCCATCCTGTAGACATTGATAAAACACTGCAAAAATATTTGCTGACTCAACTAGAATGGTAAGAAACTGAGTTAAATATAAATAAAGAGAAAGAGAGATGAATAAGGAAGAGAGAAGAAAGAAGAAAAGATGGAAAAAGACTTGGGGAAAGGGAAAAATTGAGAATTCCTGCTTTATACTTGCTTGTTATGTTAGACTAGGGAAAAGGCCCATTGTGGAAATAAATAAAACAACCTCTAGAAAGAGGCTCTGGGCGGGTGCTGGACATTCAGTGTCAATATACTGTGGTGACCTCAGCAGGGTATAATGACACTGAGTCCACCATTTTTTCCAGAGGAACTGATCTCTGCTACCTAAAGAACAGTTGTAATTTTGAGTGATCTCCAGACCTCACCTGGAGATTGGCAACGATGGTTCCCCAGAAGGGAATAGTTGGTTTGGAGGGTGGAGTCTATGGCTTTGTACCTGTCCGAGGTCCCACGCCTCCTGAAATCTCGCCCCCTCTTCAGGCTCCATCCCTCACATCTCCAGGAATTTTCCACCTGGAGTTGGCAACCCTATCTCCTTCCCAGCCAATCATCAACCTACCTTTATTTCCCCCTCACTCTTCAGCTTTCCACCCCCCCCACACCTGCAGCCTCTCCCGTGCAATGGGAACGAAAGCAGCTCACATTATTCTCCTCTCCTCCTTTTTATCCTGTGAGGTAGGTTAGGCTGAAAGTATGTGACTGTCCATAATCACCCAATGAGCTTCCGTAGTAAGATGGGGATTTGAACCTGGGTCTCCCAGACCCTTCTCTGAAGCTACACCACACTAGTTTTCATAGGGTGGCTGCTGCTGAACAGTAGCAAGCAGCAAGGCCTAGTTAAGTCATGCAAGTCAAGTGGTATCATGTCACCCATAGGTTGCTGTCAGGCTTAGGAGTGTTAACCTCCCTGTGGGACCCTTCAACTGCCGCTGATGGAATCCGTTGCTTAACACTTCAGGTGCTCTTCTTATCAGGTGTTTTAAAAAAAAATATGTATTTCTGTTTTTTTAAAATTAGATTTTACATTTTGCTACAAATCTGGGGCCCTTTTCAGGTTTGTAGAAAGATCTGTCTTGTCTGTTCACAGCTCCAGACACTGGATTAAAGTAACCAAAGATTTGGCCAACTGCTATTAGTATATAGAAGGTAGTTGATATGGCCTTGAACTCCAGCAAGGTCTCTATAGTTTAGGACTACTGTTGCTTATATGCTATTTCTAGGTGGTAGCCGGAGAACAAGTATTCTCGTTTCCAAAGGAGGAACACAGATCTTACTGCAATTGCTTGTGAATGTCAGTAAAGATTCCCCACCAAATGAAGACTTAATGGTGCTACTTCATTCTCTCCTTGCAAAAATTGGTCCAAAAGGTAAGCTGCACTTGATGTCTTTGTTACACAGTGGTAAGAAAAATGGGCAATTATATTAATGACTTGGTTGCTGGAGACCATAGCTGGCCCATAGGGATTGTTCTGACAACAATATGTTGTATATCTATAAGTCTGGTATCTATTTAAAGTCATAACTGATTTTAAATTGCAGCTGGATCAATCTATGGAATCTTTGGGATCATAGATACAAAAGAGCAGTATTTGAAACTAATGATAGGTGAAGCTTCAATTTGGAATTTATGCAGTTGCTTTGAAGAAAGTCCATTTTCATTTTAAAACTGCCTAGAGCACTCTCTACCACATCCCTGGGGAAATGAAGGGCAAATGAGGTCCACAGCAAACCATTTCAAATTAGCCCTGGACTGAAGGAGTGGGCTCAGTCCAGAATGGATCAGTATGAGGGTGTATATATCCATGAAATCCAATGTCCATTCCCCCTTCAAAATTTGAACTGTCTCAGTTTTCTGATGTAGGCTTTCTTGCCACATGTACTGTATGCTTTTAGAGAGAGAGGTATTCCAACAGTTTCAGCTACTAAGCCAGTTTCTTGAGAACCTGTGTATTTCTATAAGGTTTCAAACTGTATGATCTCTAGTCATCCTCTGAACATTTAACAATGGATTAGTCAATAAGCAGATAGGAAAGTAACAAGGTAACTGAAATCTGATTAGGACACAGCAGTAATACAGCCACTGAAGTGACCAAAAAGGCACAAGTTGGATTTCAAGAGAAAATGCATATAGTTTTTAGTCTTGAAGGAGCTGAGATATGAAACTTAATATTTTGATTTGGTACTTTTATGGTATTTAAGATACATTGGGGATTTGAGCAATGTGATGTACTGGAAAGGAAGAAAAGTTGGTTATATGGATATGAAGAAAGTTGCTAAACTTGAAATAATAACTTGACTTTGTTTTAGTTTGTTTGGTATCGTTGGCATGGTTCCAATGGGAGTGGAGTAGGATTTACCCTCTTCTTGCTCCTGCTGCAGTCCTCTGAAACTGTGTTTCCTGGATATCAGACTTTCAGGGACAGCACAGAGGCGAAGTTGTTGGGGAGAATCAGGAGAAATTACCACTGCTTCTTACGCAAATGGAAATGCTTTTCTGTCAGATGAACTGCGTGGTTGCATACATGTTGCAGAAGTTCAGTGAATTACCTTAAATGTAGTCATTTTTAAAATTTAATTCTGAGAGTATATTTGAGTAAATTTTGTTTTGCATATGTGCTAAAACTTCTGTTCCTTTTTATTTTCAGATAAAAAAATTGGAGTAAAAGCCAGAATTAGCGGTGCTTTAAATATAACACTAAATATAGTGAAGCAGAACTTGCAGAATCAAAGATTAATACTGCCTTGTCTTCAAGTGTTACGAGTATATTCAACCAACTGTAAGAACTTTGACTTTTCCCCCTCTGATACCATTTATTTAGGTATCTGATATGTAAGATGAAAATACCTGTGTACACTTACATTAATTACAAAAACTGGTAGAAGGGATTATGCATTCCATGTGCTGTACCCGATCTTGTCTGTCCTTAATTGCTGATATGTGGCTGTTTTTTTGTTTTCAAGCATTCATCTGCCTCTGTTGTGGCACAGCAGACCTCTTTAATGTTAAATCTCATTTAATCAATTATTAGGCAGGATATACATGGATATCGCAGCATCAATAAGTAGAGGAGGAAGGATTTAGCCAGTTATAACTGTTACTTAGAGTTACATTGGCACAGTTGTTAAGAATTCTTGCAAATGTGGTTAGGAAACCCTTGTTGATATTAACCTAACTATGTTAGTGTAATGCTTAACCATGGGTATGTAGAATTCAAGAACAAAAAGGGAAGTGCTTGGAGTCAGAGAGTCAGAAGCCTATAATCTCATGTTGCAATCCTAGGGCAAAATCTCAATATTTTATTCATGGTAAATACAGTGGTAGCATTACATATGTAACTTCCCTAAAAGTAAATATTGCCAAATGTTCACTTTTCTGAGATAGTGGCCATATCTAGGTAGTTCCTTTAGTCAGTAGTCAGTCTACCCATTCTGCTCAGCTGATGCTGTCCAATCAGATTGCTCAGAGCAGCCTGTCGCACAAGGTTCTCTGGCTCTGTGAAGAATTAACCCTTCAGTGGGGGGAAGTCATCCAGGAACTGGTTAGGTCACGCCTCTGCTCGCTCGATAGGCTATGCAAATTTGTTTTGTTGCGTGGCTCTGTTGGAGTGGCCTAGGCTGACCTCTCCAGTTCCTGCATAGCCCTGCGCTCGGTAGGACTACTGGAGCTCCCGTTCCAAGCCAGCCTACCTAGGGCAACTTAGTTTTAGACCGTTTTAAAAATACAGAGCTGAATAGCCCACAGAAGCAGATCTCCAGAAAAAGGAGACTTTGGATGACAAGAGGGAAGACAGCAATATCGGCCCACACTGCCTCTTGAGGTACCGGGAAGGGGAATGGCCGCGACGGAGCGCCCCACGGAGCAGCAGCCCTGTACCTTCGAGGCACCGGGGGTCGGGCTGCGGGAAGACCAGCGGCCGGGAAGGTTAATTCTGCCTTCCACATCAACCAGCCAATTACGTTACCGTCATTCTGCCCAAACCCGACACATCCTAAGGAAAAAACCTGGCACAAGCTGGACGTCCGTAGGGCTTTACGTGCATACATTGACAGAACAGCTGCCTTTCAACAGTCAGATGCCCTATTCGTGGCATATTGCGCACCTAATCAAGGGAAGAAGGCTTCTAAGGCCACGTTGGCCTACTGGATTAGACAATGCATTTCAAAAGCCTATGAGGTACAGGGACTCTCGCCTCCAGGCCAGATCACCGCACATTCTACGAGGGTGGCAGCAACGACAGCCGCTTTCTCGACACGAGCCACGGTCGAGGAAATTTGCAGGGCGGCCACCTGGAAGTCCTTTTCCACATTTGTGCGACACTACAGAATGGATCAAGCGGCCTCGGCGGAGGCAGCATTTGGCCGAAGAGTGCTACAACAGGTGGTGGAGCCTTAAAATACAAAAAAAAAAAAAAGTCGCCCACCCTAGAACCACAGCTTGGGTACACAGCTAACCAGTTCCTGGATGACTTCCCCCCACTGAAGGAGAACGGTACATTGGACCTACCTGAAGGTTCTTTCTCTTCAGTGGGGGAGAAGTCATCCACATCCCACCCAAACTGAATACCAGAAACAAACCAGGGTGGCAAAACTATGGAGTACAACAGCACAACACACAGATACCGTGGTCTGAATCAAGGATATAAATGAGAGTAATCCACGGTCAGGGCTTGAACACAACTGGAGAGGTCAGCCTAGGCCACTCCAATAGGAGCCACGCAACAAAAGAAATTTGCATAGCCTATCGAGAGAGCAGAGGCGTGACCTAACCAGTTCCTGGATGACTTCTCCCCCACTGAAGAGAAAGAACCTTCAGGTAGGTCCAATGTACCGTTCTCTGGGTATCATTCTGGCTTTGTTAATCTGTTTCTTTACTTCATCAGGTAGATATTTTAGTTCTAAAAAGGGGAAGGGAAAGGAGTTTGTAAACCGTTCTGAGACTCCAAGTGAAGGGCGGTGTATAAATCCAATCTCTTCTTCTTCTAAAAAGGTTTGTTATAGATCCCTCAGGTGAGACTCTGGAACAGATGTGGTTGTAGTGCAGAGCCTAGCTGTAGACAATAGATTGTTTGGTACATTTAGAATGATAGTTGGATGCATGTAGCTATGTTTGTCGATGAATAGGTTTCCAGTATAATGTGGTATCTATGTGTCCATCATGTTTTTGTACAGTGGTGTCCAGAAAATGTATTTCTTGCAAAAATTGGTTCATTGTCAGGTTGATGGCGGGGTGAAAGTTGTTGAATGCCTAGTGGAATTTGTCCAGGGCTTCTTTACCATATGTTCAGACAATAAAGATGTCATCAATGTAACGAAGGTAGAGGAGAGGTGTGAGTGGGCAGGAGTTTAGGAAGTGTTGCTCCAAGTCAGCAATGAAGATGTTAGCATACTGTGGTGCCATGGTATTTTAAAATTAAAATTAAATGGGAAACCAATCTAAAGAACAACAATATCTGGTGCATCTTACACCACAAAGCATCATGTAAATATATATACTTTTTATTCCTATCAGCCCCAGTAATTTCTGCCTTGCAAGGAACGAGGATTGGCCGGTTGCTTTTGCATCAGCCTCTCCTTTGCAGCAATTATTTATTTATTATATTTGATTTCTAGCCCTCCCTCCCCTACACAGCAAGGATCAGGGTGGGTTACAACAAAAAAATAATAGTAATATAGATACCATTAGATATAAATATACATATCATTAAAACCATATATGCACTCTAAAACAATCCAATGGCAGACAATAATACAATTGTATATCTGCATTCCCACAATAGCTGTTGCCTAACAAGAGACAGTGGGTGCACAAGAAAGCTGAACAAGATAGAGGATGGCAACTGAACAGATGGACTTCCGCCACCTCAACCAGAGGCCTGGCAGAACATCTCCATTTTGCAGGCCCTATGGAACAGCATTAAGACCCGCAGGGCCCAGATCTCACTTGGGAGAGTGTTCCACCAGGCTGGCAGCAGAGCCAAAAAGGCTCTGGCTGAGGCTAGGAAGATATCTTTTTGGTTGGGAATCACCAGAAGATGTTAGTTCATAGAGCAGAAAGCTCTTTGAGGGAGTACTGGGAGAGGCGGTCCTGAAGGAAGGTTGTTTCCAGATGGCATAGGGCTTTAAAGGTAAAAACCAAAACTTGAACTTGATCCAGAATTCAGCTGGGAGCCAGTGCAGCTGGTGGAGCACCAGCTGTATATGAGCTTTTGATGGTGTTCCTGAAGGGCTCGCACAGCTGTATTCTGGACCAGCTTCAATTTCCAGGCAGTCTCAAGGGTAGCCCTGCATAAAGTGTGTTACAGTAGTCCAGCCTGGAGGTAACCATTGCATGGATCACTATAGCTAAATCCCATGGAGAAAGGCAGTGAACCAATTGCCTGACCTGATGAAGATGGGAAAATGCTGGTCTGGCAACACACATGATTTTGGGGCTCCATTGACAGTGAGGCATCCAAAATCATGCCCAGGCTCTTCACTGTTGGCATTGGTGTTAATGCCACATTATTTAGATCTGGGAGTTGGATCCCCAAATCCTATCCCCCCCAGGGTTCAGGTACAGAACTTTGATGGATTTAATTTCACCTAACACTGTTTTAGCCAACCAGCCACGGCCTCCAAACCTTTGGCTAAAATATCTGGGGTGGTGTTCGGCCATCCATCCAACAGCAGATACAGCTGGGTGTCATCAGCGTACCGGTGACAACCCATCTCAAAGCTCCAGACCAACTAGGCACATATAGATATAAATAACATGGGAGAGAGGCTAATTGTTAACTGCCTGGCAAGTGATATTGCCACCGGAGCTGTTTCAGAATGTAGTATTCTGAAAGTTCACTAGACATTTGCATACAGTATCTGAAGAATCAAACAGTTTATCTTTAGTGAAAGGAAAAAAACTAGTAAGATAGTACTTTAGCATCATGATACTTTAGCTGCTTTTTCATTAAGGATAAAGTATCACGTTAATACTTTTGCACTTTGATTCAAAATCATATTTTTAAAAATTTTCAGCTGTAAATGCTGTGTCCTTGGGTAAGAATGGAATTGTGGAGCTGATGTTTAAGATCATCGGTCCTTTCAGCAAAAAGAACACTGGCCTTATGAAGTAAGTAAAATACTCAGTACATTGACTAGAACTTTTGAAATGCTACTGAAATATTTATTTAAATATAAGGCTAAATAGCATTTGAGATGAGGACGAAAATGGCATGGCTGAACTTGTGTGGCTTTTGTTCAAATTGGAAAAGCCGTATGGCTACAGTCATCTATAAAAATGTTTTAAGAAAAAAGGACTATGATCTCTAAATAAGCTTTTATTCTGTTTACATTGTTTATAGTCCACCTTTCTCACTAAGACTCCAGGCAGAATTACACAGAATGCAGTCAATAGGATGGGGCATCCAAGAAATCAGTGTACTAGGATTAAAGTTAAAGGTTTCCCTTGCTTGAAAGCCAGTTGAATCCGACTCTAGGAGGTGGTGCTCATCTCTGTTTCCATGCTCTGTCTTCTTGGTGCTTGGGGGGGGGTCAACAGTGGGAGGGCTTCTAATGTCCTGGCCCCACTGCTGGACCTCCTGATGGCACTGGTATTTCTGGCCACTGTGTGACACAGAGTGTTGGACTGGATGGGCCTTTGGCCTGATCCAACATTGGCGTCTCTTATGTTCTTATGTTCTTAAAGAGCCAGCGCTGTCCAAAGACGTTTCCATGGTCATGTGGCTGGCATGACTAAACGCCAAGGTGCATGGAACGCTGTTACCTTCCCACTGAAGCGGTACCTATTCATCTACTTGCAATTTCTTGCTTTCAAACTGCTAAGATGGCAGAAGCTGGGGCCAGAGACGGGAGCTCAAAATAGGTCTACTCAGAATCCTATTCAGGTCTAGTTAGTAGGGTTATTCCCCAGAAAGTGTTCTCAGGTTTGCTCTGTTAGACGATAGGCTGTGGTAGCTGTGCTGCGCTGGTAGTCGCTAATGGTAACAGATTTTTGTAAGGCTTTAGAATACTGCAGCCAGCCTGGAAGTCCAGGAAACGTTGAGGATTCAGTTATATTATTATAGTTGAATATTTTAATATTCTGTGTATTCAATTTTTTTCTTAAGCCAAAGTCAGGGTCAAATGTCCATAAGATCCACACACACATCAAAGTAAAAAAGAGATCCCTGTAAATTTGGAGGAAATATGCTTCTGAAAAAATACTCATTTAGCCAGTCATCTTGTCTGTGTGTGTTGTTGTTGTTCAGTCGCACAGTCGAGTCCAACTCTTCTCGACCCCATGGACCAGATCACGCCAGGCCTTCCGGTCTTCCACCGTCCTCTGAAGTTTGCTCAAGTTCATGTTCGTTGCATCTATGACACTATCTAACCATCACATCCTTTGCCGTCCCCGTCTTCTTTGACCTTCAATCTTTCCCAGTATCAGGGTCTTCTCCAGTGAGTGTTCCCTTCTCATTTGGTGGCCAAAGTATTTGAGCTTCAATTTCGTTATCTGACCTTCCAGGGAACAGTCAGGGTTGATTTCTTTTAGGATTGACTGATTTGATCTTCTTGCAGTTCAAGGGACTCTCAAGAGTCTTCTCCAGCACTATAGTTCAAAAGAATCTATTCTTTGGCGCTCGACCTTCCTTATACTCCAACTCTCGCAACCATACATGACTACTGGGAATACCATTGCTTTGACCTTGCGGACTTTTGTTGGCAGGGTGATGTCTCTACTTTTTATCATGCTGTTTAGGTTCGCCATAGCTTTTATCCCAAGGAGCAGGCGTCTTTTAATTTAACTGCTGCTGTCACAGTCTGCGGTGATCTGGGATCCCAGGAACGTGAAGTTTGTCACTACTTCCAGAACTTCCCCTCCTATTTGCCAAGGAGTGATGGGGCCAGATGCCATGATCTTAGTTTTTTTTATGTTGAGCTTCAAGTCCACTTTTGCGCTCTCCTCTTTTACCCTGAGGAAGAGGCTCTTTAGGTCCTCTTCACTTTCTGCCATTAGAGTGGTATCGTCTGCATATCTGAGGTTGTTGATCTTTTCCCCAGCAATCTTAATTCCCACTTGTGATTCATCCAGGCCAGCGTTTCGCATGATGTACTCTGCATATATATTAAATAAGCAAGGTGACAATATACATCCTTGCCGTACTCCTTTTCCTATGCTAAACCAATCAGTTGTTCCATATCCGGTTCTAACTGTCGCTTCTTGGCCCTTATACAGGTTTCAAGGCAGATTACAGAACATAAAACAGTGCAGACAGACAACATTAAACAACCAGAAGAATGTTGTAGGATTCAGATGGCAGAATTAGAAAACAATGAGAACAACAAACTATCTAAGGCAAGACATAGTATAAACAATACAAAAGGTTGCTTAGGTTTAGGACAATGCAGTTAGAACAGGTGATTCCAGCAGTGAAAACAAACCTGTTCCATTATAAAAACACCCTCCTGGGCTGCCCCATTCCACTACAGTTCCAATATCTATTTTAAAATGCCTTCTTGAGCATCACAGTTTTGCACATGCTCCAGAATGATGATAGTGTGGGAGCTTTCCTGAGCTCCACAATTTGGGATCCAACACTGAGAATGCAGGGGCGTGGCGACGCTAAGAGTGATGGCGGTCGCTTAATTTGAAGGCTCCAACTCTCCCCCCTTCAAATCGCACACCACAGACCACAAGATAGAATATTCTTCACGGAATGGGTAAGAATATTACTTCTAAACCCATAGCTGCAAAAACGACTGCTAAAGCGACATCTAAAAACTTTTTTAAACCCAAGAAAAGCAAACTGAGCACCGAGATAGCGGGAGATCTAGCTCATAAGATGGCGGCCGCAAAACCTCAGCCCCGGGCCCCTGGCCTTTCATCTGATCCGATAGACCTACCTACTCTTCTAGAAAATATGGAACATAGGCTATCGGCAAAATTAACTGATATTCAGGCAGCACTCGCCAAAACAGCCAACACGGCAGAACAGGCTCTAACTATATCCTCCTCCCTCAAAAAGGAAGTGAAAGAAATAAAAGCACGGGAAATAAATCATAACGAACGAATACTCACATTGGAAACGCAAATGAGACTGCCAAACCTAAAATTCCGCGGGGTTCCGGAGGGGGAGGAGGGGAAAAATGATTTAATACCTTTTATGGGGCATTGGCTTGCAAAAGCCTTTCATCTTGGCGAGGAAGACCGGCTGGACATTCGTAAGGCTTATCGCCTGGGAGCCCCAAATCACTCTATCTATCAAATCCAGACCCTTGAATCTATTCTTCACCTCTACTGTATATTCATCAGGGATGCGATCTAGGTCAAACCTGAATGGCCTCGTGGTTTTCCCGATTTTCTTCAGTTTAAGTCTGAATTTTGCAATGAGTAGCTCATGATCTGAACCACAGTCAGCTCCAGGTCTTGTTTTTACTGACTGGATAGAGCTTCTCCATCTTTGACTGCAAATTATATAGTCAATCTGATTTCGGTGTTGCCCATCTGGTGATGTCCATGTGTAGAGTCGCCTCTTAGGTTGTTGGAAAAGGGTGTTCGCTATGACCAGTGTGTTCTCTTGACAAAACTCTGTTAACCTTTGCCCTGCTTCATTTTGCTTTCCAAGGCCAAACTTGTCTGTTATTCCGGTTACCTTTTGACTTCCTACTTTAGCATTCCAGTCCCCTATGATGATGAGGACATCATTTTTTGGTGTTAGTTCTAGGAGGTGTTGTAGGTCTTCATAGAACCGGTCCACTTCAGCCTCTTCTGCATCAGTGGTTGGGGCATAGACTTGGATTACTGTGATGTTGAATGGTTTGCCTTGGAATCGGACCGAAATCATTCTGTCATTTTTGAGATTGTATCCCAGTACTGACTTTTGCACTCTCTTGTTGACTATAAAGGCCACACCATTTTTTCTACGAGATTCCTGGCCACAGTAGTAGATATAATGGTCTTCTGAGTTAAATTTGCCCATTCCTGTCCACTTTAGTTCACTGATTCCTAAGATATTGATGTTCAGTCTTGCCATCTTATTTTTGACCACATCAAGCTTACCTTGATTCATACATCTTACATTCCAGGTTCCTATGCAGTATTGTTCTTTGCAGCATCGGACTTTCCTTTCACCATCAGACACATCCACAACTGAGCGTCCTTTCGGCTTTGGCCCAGCCGTTTCACTCTTTCTGGGGTTACTTGTACTTGCCCTCTGCTCTTCCCCAATAGCATATTGGACACCTTCCGACCTGAGGGGCTCATCTTCTGGCGTTATAGCTTTTAGCCTTTTGATACTGTCCATGGGGTTTTCTTGGCAAGAATACTGGAGTGGGTTGCCATTTCCTTCTCCAGGAGATCACGCTTGGTCTGAGTTCTCTGCTATGGCCTGTCCGTCTTGGGTGGTCCTCCACGGCATAGTCCACAGTCTCATCGAACCACGCAAGCCCCCTCGCCACGACAAGGCAGTGATCCATGAGGGGGTCTATGTGTGTACATAGGTGCATATCCATGTTCAGCTGGAGAAAAATGTAATGAATGTAAAAGATAAAATGTTTTGAATTAATATTATTCTTTTCAACAAGGCATTGTATTATCAGACTTTAGGACTACAGTTCTGTTTACAGGGTGCTTAACAATGATCAAGATTATTGCCTAAATCTGTGTTTCATTTTTATATTCACAGGGTTGCTTTAGACACTTTTGCTGCATTGCTAAGATCGAGTAAGTGTATGGTTTAACAAAATTATATTTATATACAGTTATAAAACTGAAAGGTGATATTTTATAGATTGCAATGGAGCATATCATCTTGTGTGCTGAAAGACTTTGGAATTTCTTGCTGGTAGACAATTCTGCTAAGAATATTAAGAAAAAAAGCAAGAGCAATGTAAATCCATCACATATAATAATATCATCTCTCTTTTATAATAACATGTTTGTAGTAGTTTTCTTGAGTGAAACCTCAGTTCTTCAAATGCATATGGAGTACATAATCATTTATAAAGACCCCTTCATCCCAAAATTATATCCCCTGTCACTTTTGAGTAAAAAAGGTTCGGTAAAGTGATTACGCACTTCATATAAATCAGAAGTGAAGTATGACTGACAAAAGCCTATACTTGAATAAATCTTGTTAGTCTTTGAGGTACCATTAGTCCCTGAGGTACCACTACGCTAGATTTCTGTTTTATTTTACTGTAACAGACTGTTTGTCGTATACAGGCTAATCTTAAAATTTATTATGTTTTTATCTTGTCCTTCCTCCAAGGAGCTCTGGGTGTCCTATGTGGTTATTTCCCTCCACCATTTAGTCCCCATAATAGCCCTATGATTTAGGTTAGGCTGAGAGAGAAAGAGAGTGATTGATTGACCTAAAGTTATCCAGAAAGCTTCATGGCAAAGTGAGGATTTCAACCTGCATATTCCCCAGTCTAAATCCAACACGCTAACCATTATATCTTACTAAGTTACTGCATTGGATCCTATCTGTTAAGATCAATAGCTTGGCATTGAAACATTGAATTCTCTGTCAGGTTTAAGAAACTTTAAGAACCACTTCCATATGTTCCAACTTTAACATTTGCCTAAACTGGTAATGTGAGAATAAGATAAATATGTATCATAGAGGTAGCTTTCAGGGGAACCAGTTATTGGTACTAGGTTGTAGTCAGTTTTTTCCTCAAAAAATCACTTATTTGATTCTTATTGGATAGTTTAAAATGGCTTGATAACTTTGAAATCTTTTCCCCCAAGAAACAAATGCTAGGAGAGCAGTAGACAGAGGCTATGTCCACGTGCTTTTAACAATCTATGTAGACTGGCACCGTCATGATAGCCGCCATAGACATATGTTGATCCGCAAAGGAATCTTGCAGTGTATTAAAAATGTTACGAACACCAAGCTGGGAAGAAAAGCATTTCTTGATGTCAGTGGGATGAAAATTCTGTACAACACATCACAAGTAAGTACTTGCATTGCTATGACTGAACAGGGAAGCTTCTTAATGTGTAATTAAGATGAATGCAAAAATATCTTTTATAAATATTCCAATATTTGTATTGGATAAAATCCTGGAAACTGTGCCAACTAAATTATTACTGTTCTTCCTTAACTGAAAAATCATCTTCCTTCATGGCGAAACATATTCAGTCTGATCAGCTACTTTCAATGGGTACTTTGCACTTGAATATACATGTCCTAATTACTTTGTCTCATAATCAGTATTCTTTCCCTTTAAATTTATTATCATAGGGAAGGCCTATGCGTGTACATTTTAAAAAGGAAAACAGAGAGAATTGCAATGTTGATTTAAATGATTTTTTACAGAAGCTATGCACAACAGAGGTATGCTCCCATTTCTAATGATGGATGTGCCATCAAGGTCAAACAACTGAACTGCAATCCTTGCCACAGCATCCCACTTGGGACAATGGCTATTTGTTTGCTACTTAGAGTTCTTTGATTCAGCTTTTGCTTAATTAATTTAAATCTCTCCTTCAACAACTTAAAATAATGTGAACTCTTCCATCCTGGACCTTTGCCATTTATTTGCATTGATTCCATGGGCTGTGATACTTTCTGAATGGTTAACAGCAGTTGTAGCATGTGTATTGTTCAGAACAGTTATGCTTATATTATTATTGATGGTTTCAAGTCTCAAGATGATCCAGGAATAGCATTAATTTATAAACACCAAAACTGTAGCAAGAGAGCCTCCAAATGAACCATCTATTTCAGGGTACTGAACCTTATTGAGCCTCTTGAGTATTTTTGGCCCTGGTCACACGGCAAAGTTGCCACAGGAGAGGCACGGGAGTCCCGCGGATTTTCCGGGCACGATCACACCCCAACATCTGGGAAGCGCAGTGCTCCCGTGGCGAACCTGTGCCTCCCCACCGAAGGTGCGTATTAAAAAACTAGTACTTATGAGGTACTAGTTTCCAGAAACCGCAGACCAAGGGCGGGCGTCTGATTGTGTTTTCGGTGCACTTACGTGGCATCTGGCGCCTGTCTCCACAGGTTGCACAACAGTGTCCAACAGCGCATGCGCACAAAGACCGATTGCTAGTGCGATCGCGCGGCGCAACTTCTGTGCTACGCTGCAGGATACCCGTCTGGTCGGCATCTCCCCCCTAACCACGGGACCTCGACCGGGACGTGTGCTCGGGCGGCCGCACGTTAGTTTCCTCCGGGGCAATTAGCCACGCCTTCCCCCCACTATATCCGGCTCGTGTGACTGGGGCCTTTGAAATTTTGTGCTACCACATAATGGCTGCCGTGGTTGATATGGCCAACCCATGAAATGGCTAGCCCCACCCCACTGCCTGGCAATCACAAAATATTGTTTTAAATTCCGAGTACAGGAAACCAAAGTAACCTGAAAGTTTCTAAAATGATGAGTTCCCAACTGAGGGAAAATGACAGGTGGGTACTCCTTGGGGATCACTGTTTACTGCAAAACTTGTTTGCAGTCCCACTGACCTCAAATTTACTGTAATACCTAGGCTTGGGGGGGGGGATCTGTGTTTTATACCAATTTATGCTTAGGTTTCATGCACTGTGTCATCAGTTCCTGGTTGGGAACTCTTCATTCTATAAATGGTCAGGTTGTTTCGGTTTCCTGTATTTGTTGGAATTTAAAACAATTAATTATTAAGTTATCATCAGGCATGCCTAGGTCCTTTTTATTTACTTTTTTACCCCATTTCAAATGTGAAGTGTTAGTGTAGCAGTAAGAGCCATGAGAAGCTAAAATAACAATAAGTCCTTTGAAATCAAACTGGTACACCTCATGGTCAACTGTATACTTGAAGACCCAGAAGTTGGAAGCTGTCCAGGGTTGACTTACTTATAGCCAGTACCTTCCGAAGGGTGAAGGCCTTGCAGTGTTGTCCCTGCTGTTTAACTTGGGCTACTTGGGTATCCAAATCCTTTAAATAGTTACAAGCCCTTCTCTACACACAGCTGCATATCTGCTTCATACAGGCATATAGATAGGCATTATATAGAGAGCAAGCATAATGCAACGGTTAGATGATTGGATTAGGATTTGGGAGACTCAGGTATGAATCCCCACTCTGCCATAGAAGCTCATGGGGTGACCTTGAGCCAGTCACACATTCACAGCCTAACCTACCTCACGGGCTCATTGTGAGGATAAATTGGAGGTGTGTGGGAAATGATGATTTGTGCTGCTTTGAATCCCCAGTAGGGAAAAGTGAGGTATAAATAAAATACATAACTTTGTTTCTGTGTGAAGACATTTTCTGCCAATTAGCCAGGGGCTGTAGTACATAGGGTTATCTCACTCCATTTTATCTTCACAATCCTATAAAACAGGTTAGCCTGAGAATGACTGGCCCAAGGTTACCTAATGAGCTTTGTGCCTGGGTATATCAGAGTCCTATAATGTAACTGCTATGCCAAACAGGTTTTTATTCTGTCCTTCCTTCACTGGTTGGTTTTTTAAAAAATTTGCTGTTGTTTTTTAAGAAAGTACATTCAGCCTTGGGCATCACTGCACTGTGACTGCTGACTGAAGAAAACTTTTGTGCATGACTTCAGTTTATAGACAACTGCTTGAAACATACTGTAGTGTTTTTGCAACATGGCCTAGAAGCCACTGTGCTCAGTAATCTGTTTTCTGCTGAAATAACTATTGTTTGTTTTAAATATGAGCTGCACACCAAAAGTATTTGACAGCAAAAGCTTTGTTTTTCTTCTGGCTTGAAAGCCTGCTGGTACATGAGCATACCAAGTCACCAGGTTGGCATTCCAGAAGGAAGTATTGGATATAACCAGGATCAGTGTTATCACCAGGGCTATTTTTGGGCAGAACACACAGGAACAGAGTTCTGGCTGGCTCCCAAGTTGGCCACGCCCAGCAGGAACTCATTAGCATAATAGGCCACAACCAACAGCAGAAACTGATTCAGATTGGCTACAATTAGGGGTGTGTGGCCTAACATGCAAAAAGCCCTGGGTTTTGACAACAAACAAGGTAAAGAGAATAAGAAGCAAAAGGTTGGTGTGGCTGGATGACCACACTTCTGGGAACATGGGTGTGTGGCCTAATATGCGAATGAGCTGTGCTGTCAGGGGTGTGGCCTAATATGCCAATGAGTTCCTGATGTTGAGTATGGCCTATTATGCTAATGAGTTCCTGCTGGGCTTTTTCTACAAAAAAAGCCCTGGTTATCACTGAATACTTTAAACTGTGCAGTACAGAAATAGTACATGCAAAAAGCTTAACGAGCAGTAATCATAAGCATTCTTATTAATACTTGAAAGTAGTTTTCTGGAAAAGGTGTAGTTTAACTTATGTTCTGCTTATTTCTATTAGTCCAAGTTTCATGCACTAATGAAAGAAATGTTCAACTATCAAACTATACGTATCTTAAAAAAAACCACTTTGTTGCCTACTATCACAGTACTATCACACACACACAGCTATCATAGTTCATAAAGAGCAAAATATGTGGAACACAGTGTTACTATATTGTGACTTATTTCTGTTATTAGGAATGCCTTGCAGTAAGAACTCTTGATCCATTAGTCAACACTTCCAGTCTGATAATGAGAAAATGTTATCCTAAAAATCGTCTTCCGCTGCCAACCATTAAAAGTGCTTTCCATTTCCAATTACCTGTCATCCCTGGTAATGGACCTGTGGCTCAGCTGTATAGTTTGCCTCCTGAAGGTATGGTTAATTCTGAAACATAATTGTTTCCTCTATTCTCAATAGTAGAGAGAATTATATAGCTATAGAAACTTACAACTGTGTTCTTTTTTGTTTATACTGCTTATATCCTCGGATTATACAATTTAACATAGATTCTTCTTAATATACACATTTTAACAGATTGGGAAATCCTATAATATAGTAGTTTTGTGAAAACTCAGATTTATGCCTGTATGTTAAAAGATGAAAACAAGAAACATTAATTTTCATTTTGATCCGTTAAACAAACAGTAGAAATTTAATTTGTTTCCTTGATTAATTCATTGCCTTCAGTATATCTGATTGCTCTGTTAAGTTTGCTCTGATAAGTCAGTCTTAAAAAGTGTTCTGTATATCATCAAACCTTTTCTTTTTTAATTAGTTTTTTTTTTGAAGTGGGTTTTTGTATCTGGAATGAAAGTATTTTCACGGGCATTTCACCGACATCTTGGTTTTATCATTGACAAGGCATAAGTGTGCATGCTTGGAAATGGTAATAAGTAATGGCTTCCTAATATATACTTGATTGTTTCTAAAGCCACTTTTGCTTCCATTCATACATTACTGTGTATGTGCCTTTTCAGGCATGGAAATAATTTTTTCTATAAGAAAAAGTGGTCCTGAGAACATTGCCAGTTATAGGTGCACCCTTACTTAAGCCAGCCTTAGTAATTAGGTTATCTTTCTTTTTCTCTGTTATTTACCGTTCCTCCACCCATCTCCCATGCTGTTAATGTCATTGCTGCTGCCAGTTCTGCCTCTGTCATATCAGCAGATGCAGTGTACAGAAGACATGTTTGCTGAGATAACTGTAGTTCTGCCCTTAAACAGTGACAAGTTTTCAGATGCTGTTCATATTTATTTATTTATTTATTTATTTATTTATTTATTCAATATTCAATAGTCTTGTATTTCCTTCATGCCTTCCTGTACATCCCTACATTTTATTTTGAGGTGCTCTTTCAGTAAGGCCCTGCAAGAAGGAAACTTCCTGGCTTCTTTCTGAGTTAGAACAATTTTGAACAGCATGAATTGTCTACCATTCTTTTCTTCCTTGCACTGCCAGTGCCTTCTGGGACTGGACAGGCATCATAAAAACACTGTGTGTGTCATGGATTCCACAGTATAATGCTGCTGCTTCCCTTTTGAAACCTTCTTTCATGTTGCAAACAGAATACTTTTCCCTTTTGTGAGAAGATTTCTAAAACAACACAGCACAAAGTGCCATAGAGTTACTACAGATCCATCTGCTTCACATTAACCTTAACTGTAAAAAAAAACAACCCCTAATAGTTGCTGTTAGAAGGAGAATCTATGTAGTTAAGTATACAGTGCATAGTCTCATGGGGATTTTAATTCATATGTGATTAGGTTTCAGTTGGTGAGTGAAAAGTTTCACATGCATCATTTCTTTTCTGGGATGTACATGTTGTAGAAAGCGTACCATCTGCCCTACTTATAGAGCATTTTATATCACAGTGGATGACGTAGTAGATGAAAGTGATGACAATGATGACACCGAAACAGATACTGAGATTGAAAATGGTAATGAAGATGACATAGAGCAGCATTTTAAGGTTAGTACTGGAATTAAGGAAATTATAACTGTTGTTGCCCCTCATAGAAAAACTCAGAATAAGAAACACATTAATATCTGCTGTCACTACTAAAATATTTCTCAAAGCCATTTCTTATATATATTCTAGACTGCTTGTTTAATAAATGTAATTGTGAAATCTAATTTGTAGACTTTTGTTTTACTGTACAGCACAACACCTGACACACTGAGGCATTAAGCAGTACAGTAATTACAAGCTGTATATACCAGTTGACCAAAATGAGTCAATAAATTTTTTTCTTGGGCTTCTTCTTGAGCATTTTGCAATAGTGCTGCATGTAGACATCACAAATGAGCCTCTAAAATCCTATGGCTGTCACACACTTGACACACTTCCCTCATGTGTTGGATGCAGAATTAAGACCTGGTTTGATGTGGACCATAGTTGGCTGTGATGTCTGAATTAGACAAAACTGTGATTTATTTCTTGCCTACAAACTGGGATCATTTTGCCCTGTTGAACATAGTAAAAAACTGCAACTTATCATATTAGAACGTTTTCAATCTGTGCTCTTCATGAGACGAGAGTCTCTGAGGACTTCAGAAAGCTTGTTTTTGTTCTAAACAAATGGTTCTTCAAGACATCTGAACACAGCCATTAAGAATTGTTAAGCGTTCTTAGTAAACATAAACCAAAAAAGTAATTCCCAAGACGTTTTCATAAATGCAAGTTTTTCTTTTTTTGTTTTTCTAGAATGATGATATAGAGACTGATATCAACAAGTTGAAACCAAAGCAGGAGTTGGGACGACCTATAGAAGATCTAAAGATGTATGAAAATTTTTTCCCAGAACTTGTGGAGGATTTTCAGGTACTTATATTAGCATTTTTAAAATAATGTTTACAGCTTATGAGAGACACAAAGTAGGTAAGAGTTTTGCTATATATCTGTCACCTTTTTGAAATATCTTTCACATAGGGACAGGCTTGTGTTTGCCCCATTGCTGCTGCAGCTGCTAATACAGCACTGGGGCTTTTAAAAAGGATAATCTGATGTTGTTATGTTATTATAATGTTACAACAACAGCCTGTATATCAGGTTCTCTGAATTCCCAGCTTTCATGTTTAAAATGGAAATCTCTAACCCCTTTTGTTGCAGAGATAAAAAGCAAAATGTAAATCTCCACAATGAAAGGCATTAAAGGCTTGCATTTAAAAAAAAGTAAAAGCAGGGAATTCAATGTGAGAAAGGAGGGGCTTCAAAACTTCTTCCCTGCACTGTTTTCCTGAGCTGAAGAGTTTTGGGGTGGTCCTGTTAGCCCAGCATCAGGGCACGTGGGACTCCCCTCATCATAAACAAGGTTGGGTCCTGGCATTGGGTGACCTTCGACCAGTTACACATTCTCGGCCTAACCTACTTCACAGGGTTGTTGTGAAGATAAAAAGAGAGGAAAGGAGAATGGTGTAAGCTCCTTTGAGTCCCCACTGTGGGGAAGGGTGGGGTATAAATGAAATAATAAATATAGCTGAAGATTAAAAGTAAGCAGAAAAAAGGTTGGTGGGTGGTAAAAAAAGAAGGAAACAGGATATGGGGATTGTCAGGAAGAGGGAAAG